CTCATATTATAAGGTAAGGTTATAAAAACCATCTTTTAAGATCATTTTAGTGAAAGTTTCATGTTCCTATCTCATAGAATTTAAGAACAATGATGAATAAATAATTTTTGAGCAAAATTTAAATGGCCGGCTGAATATATTACCGCAGGAGCCGCGGCCGCGGAATTTAAATGACCACGTCAAAGGGTTAATGAGTACAATGCTAATGGGTTGTTGACTTAGCATTGATAATGTTATTTTGGTCAATAAACCAGAACATCTGTAACAGGCCTCCAGCCATGACAAAACCCATGATATGGCAAACAAATCAAAATATAAAATTCTGAATTTGATAGGATCAAAATATAAAAAACATATGTGCAAAGTCATCTTGGCAGATCATCAAACAATACATCATCATCAGTAATCTGTCAGACGACAGGTCCACAGTCTCTTCCAAAGCAATTCCTCCACTTAATGCGATCTAGAGCTTTCTCCTTCAAATGACAGTATCCTATTCTGTCCCCCAAGTCATCCAGCAATCTTCTTACGTCTTCTTCCTCGTTTTCTTGTCACTTCTATCCGCCCCTCTATCATTCCTTCAATAACTTCTTTTCTTTTAGAAGGCAGTCAAAGGAGTTACAAAGAACAGGTCTGTCTAAAACGTGTAAATTATCCCCCCATCTCTGTCAGTCAATGAACAGTGCAGTTCTGCACATTTTTGTAGATCCCTGTTAGGCTGTACCATAATAGCAGTAACATAAAATAGCTTTACAACACCTACAGTACGCTATATCCTGCACAGTCACAGAAAAATTGGCAAAATCTTTCCTTGGCTGTAGATACATTTTCTGAACCTGTATTAAATCTTACTGACCTGCCAAAAGTGTGTGGATACAACTGCATTGTAAATAATTCCTGAAGTCAAGTCAATCCTAGTTACAGTAAAGTGTGATTGTGGGTTGCGACCAACAGTTTGAGAAATGTGTTACAACAAACATACTCACAGCCTCAACAGAGCTTTATAAAATGGTCGTGTGAAGAATGCATCCAGCAGGTATTGATGCACCAGTGCAAGGCCAAGCACTCGACCACTGAACCGGAACCTAAAACGAGGAAACCCATTAGAGAGAATAAACATTCTATTTTCCAGAATATTATTAACTAGCCATGGAACAGAATCCTTCTTAAGAAACCAACTGTTTCACAGCTTCTCATGAAAATCTCTGCCATTTAGGGAGACAAAAGTGTCATTACTACGTACACAGGGGCAAACAATGGGACTCTTATAATGAGCCAGATGACTCTAACGAACACCTTCATACCCTGTGTCTTAAAGGAATGCTGGCTCAAGCAGTAAGGCTCCTGATTTTAACTCTGGAGCCACCATGTTTTAACAGAGCTGATGATGAATTATGGGAATCTGATCTCTGAACTTTTTTTCACAGCATGTCATATCACACAAGCTGCTGTGTAACACATAATATACAGAAAGTTAAATTAATGTTCAGGTTTTTTCAGCACATTGATGACAAAATAGCAACAATATATTCACAGTTGTACATATTTAGTACTGTTTTATGAGTAGGGAAGATGACTGATGAGTGTAGGTCCACTAACCAACTCATTTTTACATGTAGAAGAGAACAGTAGTGTGCTCCTGTGTGTGTTCAAAAAGTTCCAGAAATTCGTCTATAAATAATATCTTTCTTTACTATGAACTTATTGAATATTAACCACTTCAAAACAGTTCCCTTACGTAGTAATGCACCTCTCCCACCACCTTTTCAACTTGTGGAAGCATTGTTCGAAGGATGCTTGTGGTATCGCCTTTGCATCATTCATCACATTACTGATGTCTTCTACTGTGTGGAATTCTTCTTTTAAGGGTAATTTTGAGTTTAGGGAATAAAAAAAGTTGGGAGGGAAAGGTCAGGTAAATAGGATTGCAGAGTGGTAAGAAATGAATGATCTGCCAAAAATGTTCTAATTGGCAATGCTCTGTGATCAGGCTCATTATCATGATGGAGAAGACAGCTTCCCATAGTTCACATTTCCGTTCACTTTCTTCATGCAGCATCCCACAGACATCTCAGAACTGCCAGATAAAAATCTTGATTGTCTGACCTTTAGGAGCAAATTTATAATGCACAAGCCTCAATGATAGAAAATAACAAGCAGCTTTGCTCTCACTTGCGAGGGTGCCTATTGTGCTTTCTTGGGGTGAGGTGAAGCAGAACTCTTCCAGTGTGAGGACTGTTTGATCTCAACATCATAACTGTAAACCCATGTCTCATCACTGGTAATGACATTTTTCAAAAGATTGTCATCATTTCCTCTTTGGAGGAGATCATCAGTCTAGGGTCTTGGCACACATTTTGTTGAGACCTGATGCATTCCTAAATCTTCCATTAAAATTGTGTGGCAGGAACTAATGGACAATCCACCCTTTTCTGCAACTTCTTGGGCAGTCAGTCAATGATTTCCACAGACATTCTTCACCTGGGCAATCAGAGGTTTTGAACGCTTGCCAGACAGCTCATTGTCATCTGTTGAGGTTCTTCCATTCTTAAACAGTTTGAACCATTCATAGGCTCTCTTTTGACTCAAGGCTTCATCACCATGAACTTCACACAACATGTTGTTAAGTTTCTGCATCTGTTCTCCCTGATTTGAAACAGAGCGTAACAAAAATTCTTTGTTCCTTTACTGGCTCCATACTGAAACTGACTAGACAACAACATGCTTAATCACAAAACCAGTTATAAAAACTAAATGGAATGTCTGATATACATGGAACAAAATGGCTTAACTAATGGCCAGGTTGCAAGTTCAAACATCCAAACGCGACCGACACACTGCTGCTATGCACTCTCATTTTGGGAACTTTCTCAACAAGCCTCTTATATTCATACAGAAATTGACTAATGTCTTCTGAAATATGATGACCTCCAATCCAAATCTGAGGGCAGATTGTCATCATTTATGCCTACACTCCTGTCAACAGATGGAATAAAATCTCCTTATAGATAAGGCAGCTTCAGTCCCTCAACCAGATTTTGCATGTTTTGTGTGTTTATGAGATACACTATAATTTCCAAAGCCCTTACCCCTGGGATCATCCTGAGATTCTGCTTCCCTGACCACCATATTGTAACGTGTTTCATTACTGAAGACGCCGTAGAGATGGTTAATTGGTTTATTTAACAATCTACAAATAACGGCTACAATTAATTATCACACAGTTGCGGGGTTTCACACTTTATAACCCTAATCGCATTAATCTGTTAACACTGTTGCAGGGTTTCACGATTTATAACCCTATGCGCAAATCAGTTCACTCTGTTTTCAGTGGTCTACACGTTTACAGTAGGGGAGCTATGTATCACTGTATCACACGCTCCCACTTACACAATCACACACACATCCGGTTCTTCTTTCCGCGACGGCTGCTATACTCCAACTTGTAGTCGGCTGACTGGAGAACTGTTGATAACACGCTCGGCGACTGTTACTTTATAACTCGGCGGCTGTCACAGTACAACTAACTGTGAATAGCCTTCGCTGCTCCTCATGTAGCCTCGATCGAACAATACTGAAAACGGCCACGTAATAAGCACCCTTGTTGCCTGGCGCTGTGTTGCTAGCAACGCTAGCGGTAGTAACCGCTGTTACTACCGTAACAATCCTGTTACGTCACCGTTACATTACCGTGCGGAGGAGGGGGAAGGGAGCGCTGACTCACCCGCCGCGTCACTGCTGGTGGGGGGTTCTCCTTTGCGCAACATGTCACAATATCATTATAAACGAATTTCTCATCACCTTCATCACACAATAATTCTACTTCTGAGTTGGTATGCACATAAATATGTTCAGTTACTTCTGTACACCTACTTCAGACAAAGTCAAGATAGCAAGAACGCTGATAAGAATATCACCAGAACTCATATTTTTCTCAATAATTTCTGGCATTCTGAAAAAAAGAAGTGCACTACCTTGCATCTTCTATTCACTGAATATTCTGGAATGACAATCTTAATGTTCATTTCACAGCTTGTATGTTTGGAGGGTTAAAGGCCTGAACAAACTGAAAATATTGTGAGGTGTTACCTTACGTCCATCGCCGTAACAACCACTACGATTAGAACAGACACTTCCGTGACAACGAACATGTGGAAATTGTGGAACTCCCACAGCGATAAATAGTAGCAATGAATTGTCGTTGAGTAACAACGGATGAGACGAAACACGTTACTGGTGTAATCTATAAAGAGCGTTCCTGAAGCAATGGATTGCTGAACAGCGGTAACGGAACCGTGAGAAATGGTGTCCCGTATCCAATCTGCATAACCCCTATATAAGCTGAGATTACGACACGTGTGGAGGGGGTGTCAAATACCTCCTACGTGACCCTGCGAGTCGTAGGAGGTGACGAAAAGGGAAGTCTCAAATCTGAGAGAGTAAAATATGGTAGCAAGTCCCAAAGGACTCGGACCCGAGACAGAATGCACTGGCAATGGCCAGCAGCATATGCAAAAGACAGACCCGTCTTCTCGTCAGAGAGGGCAGCACACAGAAACAAGACCGCAACTCAAACGGTAATAATTAATATCTGGTCATGAGCCCCAGACGGGGCTCGACACCAAGACTTACTGATTGACTTACCGACAGTCGCAATGTGACTTTGACTTTGTACAGAGTATTGAGTATTGAGAACGAGACAGTCTTGGGATAGCCGCCGCCAGAAACAATCAAGATCCAACCACGGCCAAGGATAGCTGAGACATCGCAGGAGAGTATTGAGCAAGAAGTCAAGTGACTCTGCAAGTGATAATAATTGTAAGGTGTGTAAGACTGATTGTCCAATAAGGATTCGCAATATCTGAGACTCACGTGAAGTTATTTGTCACATGACATACCCAACACGTGACAACTGCTGTCAGAAGTGGGATAAGTTCGGATTCTGAGACAAATTTGGAAGAGTTATTAGACTAATGCCACCTCAAGTGTTATAACGCCACACGAGCTAAAATGGAGTCACAGCAGATGATGGAACTGCTGCTGAAGTAAATCAGAGCTGGCCAAGAAAAAGCAGATGCCAGACATGAGGCCAATATGAAAGCATGGTGAGAAGAGACGGCCGTAATGAGAAACAAAAGGGTGAACGACAACCACAATGAGACGCTGGCCTGCCAAGAGATGGAGGCACGTCGAAAAGAGAGAACGCCGACCTCACTGGACACGAAACCTGAGGCGGCACAGAAGGATATCCCCAAAGTAGACGCCGAGGTAATGCCGGCCGGAGAACCAAAGAAGAAAAGGTGCAGGGACCGAAAACTGGCCACGGAGCGCCGCCGCCAGAAACCGAAGGATTTGACACAGAAAAATTGTGGATCCCCGAAGAAATTGGCCATCGCCTGCAGAGGGATGAGCCACCGTGCAACAGTGGCACGGCAAAAGGAGAATAAAAGCGACATAAGGATGTCCCATCACGCAACAGTGGCACGACACAAGAGACACATCATGAAGAAGAATTTTACTCAGGGAGCTGGTAGATTCCCGAGGAAGCGACTGCTCATGGCCGACAAGAAGATGACCCGCTGTGCAAATGTGGCACAGCACAACAGATCAGTCGGAGTAACGCAAAAGTCACACATTAGGATGTGTTGAAAAGGAAACAAGAAGAACTTGAACGCGGCAGGACGACAAAAGAATTTGTCGAGAAAGGAAAAGAAGTAGGACTACAGATTAAAAGTGAGATGATAAAAAAGTTAAAAAGGCAATTCGAGGCATGCTGTGCAAAATCGCAACAAGTATGAACGCCAAAATTTGGACACTGTGGAAGGGTCGACCCCCTCAAAAACGGAGAAAAGGAACCGGTAATGAAGAAGCACCGGCCTCCCTAGGAAGAATGAATGAGGAGAGCATGAAAGTGATGAATGAATGTGAGACAATGGGACCAAGTAATCCTGGACCATGGAAGCGCTCGGGTCGAGCACTCTGGAAGAAAGGGTGCGGATGAAAGAAGTAGAACATCAAAACACCAAAGGAAATGCGGAGGTAACACGCGGAAGATGAATGCCTTAGGAAACGAAACCAAGGAAGT